TAACGCTGATGACGTGAGGGATGACAGCTGGGATAAAAACTCGAGATATAGTTGCAATGTCCCAATGGCCATGATCATCAACGAAGTTGTGAATTTTTAAGTTAAATCAACATATATATTATCTCGGGCGTGATCTCGTAAATGCCCCAAGCTCGGTACCCACTTATCATTCCAGAAGGTTATAGTGTTCCCATTACCCACTGACCAAACCAAAATGAGAGCAATTGCCTCCATATTTTTGATATTCCTCTCTATAATGGGGGAGCAGTTGTGTTTTTCAATCGATAGAGGGTGAGTCTCTTGAATTTTATATTTTTGGCTGAGTAGTTGGACCCAGTAAGTTTGTCTTCACCATAAGGGAATAGCCAAGCTTCATAATGAAAGCTTTGTTTTGCTCAAGAGGCCGAATAAACCCCAAAACACCTCGATCAATAGGATTGCAGACAGTATCCCAGTTAACTAGAGAGATTTTCCTATCAGATGGTTTTGATCCCCAAATAAAATATTTGATCACGATTTCTATCTTCTCACAGACCCTTTTAAGGAATGGCATGACTTGCATAAAATAGTTGGTATGGCTGAAAGGACCGATTTTGTCAGAGTAATATGCCCTACCAGCGAAAGGGATCGAGCAGCCCAACCATTTAATCTACCCCTGAATTTATCAAAGATGAAGTCAAAATCAGCAACTTTCATACGACTATGAAGGACCGGAACTCCAAGGTACTTCCCCATAGAGTTAACTTCTTGGAACCCAATACATGATAGAATGGCATATTTCGTGGCTATGGCAGTATTAGGTGAGAAATATATGCATCTTTTGTTTCTGACTTTGTGCCCCGAAAAGTACCCAAATTACGTGAGGGTTTTCTCAATGATTTTCACATGGGATAGATCAACCTTTGCATATAACATAAGATCATCATCAAACATAAATGACTGATGGGAAGGTCATTTCGGGAAAAAGATAAGCCCTTCCAATTTCATTCTTCAACACATTTACAAATGCTATGGCCAAGACGTTCTATTTCTAAATCAAAGAGATATAGAGAAAGGGGGTCACCTTGTCGGATACCCCGTTCTGGTTTGAACTAAGAAGAATTCTCACCATTCCATTGGATTTGCTTAGAGGTCGAAGTGATACATGCATTATGAATCGGATGGTGCTTGATGGAATCCAGTTCCACAAGTGAATCTTGAATGAACTCCCATCGGAGGCGATCGAAAGCTTTTTCAAGATCCACTTAATTTCCATCCAACCTTGCTTTGTCTTGAGCTGTCGCATGGAGGGATTACCTCCTGATTTATAATGATGTTTTTGATAATAGAATGACAGCAATGAAATTCGTTTGATTCGGCATGATTAGAATAGGGATCATTTTCTTTATGCGGCGAACAATAATCTTGGTAAGAGTTTATACATAACAATGCACATGTTGATTGGAAGAAAATCCGCAAAAGTTTTCGGGTCCTTTTTTTATAGGATTAAAACAAGCACAACTTTATTTAGATCGGCTTCAATATCACCTCCTGTAAAAACCTTTTTCACCATGCTACAGACAGATTGCCCCACCGTGCAACTGTGCTGGAAAATTCTGTATGGAGGCCATCATGGTGGGGTTCTTTTAGGGGAGTCATATCCTTCAGAGCTTCAAGATTTCCTTATCTTTGAGTTCAATAGACATGGAATCCTTTACCTGAGTCGGAATAGCCGAGTAGTAACCTAAATTGGAAAAATCCCTACCACTTCCTCATCGCATGCACAAATATTTCTGGAAAAAAATAAACGTTTCTTCCTTAAGTTTATTCGTGTCAAAGCACCAATCATTTGTATGAAGTTTTAGGGCCAAGATTCGGTTCTTCTACTTTAGCTGCAAAGCACTTCTATGGAAGTATTTTGTATTTCGATCACCTTGGGTAGGCTAATTTATTTTCGAGCGTTGTTTCCATAGAGTTTCCTTTTGGTCTAGGAGTTGCTCTAACTCGGTGAGGAGTTTCGGCTTCAAGATTGATAAGGAAAGTCAAATGATATCTACTAAGCTTTTGTGTATTTTCTTGAAGTCTTGTAATAACTATCTTCTTTTTGTGCCTATATAACCAAATATCGTTTTTATTTCATGTATCAATTGCATTAGTAAAATGGGTGATAGTTTCTGAAAGATATTCAGAGTTTACCCAGTTACCTCCACCATTCAGTTGAAATCGTCATGTTGCAACCATCTAGAGAAATATCTGAATTGAGTCGGCGAATGTTAGTTGTAGAGCTACCAACACAAATGAGAATTGGTCTATGATCAGACTGCATACGATGAAGATGATGTACACTGTCTTATGATACGATTCGTCCCATTTGCTATTACATAAAGCACTGTCAAGACGAGCATAAGAAAGACCCCTATTCCACGTGAATTCAAGACCTTGGAATCCCATGTCACGGATTCCAAAATCATAAATAAAATCCTGGAAATTTTTGCAAGGTCGAGTAGAAGTTGCACCATTCCTCGATCAGAAGTAGTGAGCGTGGCATTAAAATCTCCCAACATGACCTAAGGGTAGGTAATATGTCTCGCGAGGGATCGAATGTGAGGCCATAGTTGTTTTCGCTTAGTTGTATCGGGCTGGCATATATAATGGTCGCCAAAGTCGAGAACTTGCCATGGGAGGTAGAGATACGATAGTGGATGAACTGGAAGTGATTAGAGGTATGTTTACATGGATTTTTTCGCCCATCATAACCATATGCCTCCTAAAAATCCTGCAGCTTCAATACGATGAGAGCGATCGAAACCAATGCAGTGATAAAAGCATCAGCTCTGCCCCCACTTATAGGGGGTTCAAGAATTACTACTAAATTCGACTTAAATCACGCAAATATTACCGAAAAACTGTGAGAAAATGTGGGTGACCACATCCCTGTACATTCCAGCATATATTTTAACATTTATAAAGAAAGATAAGTGTAGAAAGCCAAATCATTCCAGCATGGGGTCGCTTGACTGTCAGTGCAAGTATTCTGCATGCACAGTCTCGTTGAACAAGACTAGTAGGATCAGCTTCTGTTGTTGTTAAGGTGCTTCACTCGATTGAGATTGGTTTGTATCAGGTGGTTCTCATGGTATGGATTTGTGTTGGGTGGCCCTGTGCATGGCTTGCAAATTCACACCGTCGAAATGTTTGGATTAGTATTTTTTTCTAGTACGATGGCCAAATGTTCAACCTGTCCAGTATGGAAACACGTGGTTCAACATTACTTTGGCGGGGTTGGTGGCTTGACAGAGTGGCACCTTGTTTTTAGCAGTATGTTGACCGCTGGAATTGCCTTTGCTTGACTGTGCGTGAGTAGCTGAAGAATGAGCATGAAAGGCATTCGGAGCATGAGAAGTATGAGGAGTATGAGAAGTATTCGGAGTATGAGAAGTATTCGGAGCATGAGGAGCTTGGTTGGTATATGTAGCTTGATTGATTTTCAAACACAGCAGTAGTAACATCATCGGTTGTTCATAAAGAGGGTTAATCGCGAACCATGGTTCTCCAGATTTTGTCCTTTGTCAACAGGAGGTTTTTTAGTGCTTTTTCGTTGCCTTCGTTCAAAACCATCCATGGTCCAAATGGTTCAGAGCTTTGCTTGGCATCAGCAATTATGGTTCACTTACTTGTCATTGGGTCATTTGAATCTTGGTGGTCGATAATAATTTTATCTGGGCATATATCTTTCACATGTCCATACTGACCACAAGAAAAGCATATTGTAGGCAGCTATTTTCGATTCAACGATCTGAACGATCCCATTGATAAGGAGCTTCGAGGTTAGTGGTTTTTTTAGGTCCACACTCACCGTCATTCTTGCAAATCGTCCTTGATGACCAGTTTTCGTTTGATAGTCAATTTTAACAACCTTTTCGATGTATCACCAATTTCAGTAATAAGCTACGTTTATAAAAGGTTATCGGTAGTCCGGAAGGCGAATCCACGCCACAATTCTACTAGGTAACAATTGTGAGGAGGTAAAATCCAGCGACCATGGTTCAATGGTTACTTAATGTCCAAAGATTGTCCATGGACCATCGGAGAGGGAGTCAAGAAATCTGAGTGTGTTCGTAGCAAAACAAGGAAATAGTCGTTTTCTATGTCCATGAGACGAAAGGGCTGAGACAGCTTCCAGAGATCATAAAATTTATTCCGAGAGTTGTGTAGCCAATACGCCTCCCAAGCAGCTTCACCACAACGGTCTGATCAAAACTTTTATTGGCTATGGCTTGGACCCGATCAGAGAAATCAATGGAGATTAAACCATCGACGACTCCACGAACAACATCATCCTCGAAGACTTCGACATCTTCCTCTTCTAAGATTTCATCATCGATTAAAGGTTCTTTAGGGTTGTCTTTAATGAGGGTGTCACGGTAGGAGATTGGAGCGGGTGGGATAATTGGATTCGTTTTGCTGGCCATTTCACATACATACTGTGTGGAGCATCGCCGCTGTGTCTGGTGGTTCTCATCAAGTCGGCGTGCTTTCTTTGTGGGCAATCATCTTGGGCTACGTTTTCCATTTTGAATGAGTAATCCTATTTTATTTTATTTATTTCCATTAGAGGTTTGGAAAAAACAGGCGCCAAAAGTAGCCAATTCTCCCGCCTTGTCGCCTTTCCTGACCAAACCCTCCCTCTCTATTGTCATCTTCTTTCGTTTCTATTCTCCATCTAAAATTACATTACATCACGGGTCCCTATTCAAAATTAGGGCTCCTTAATTAGCTGATGTTTACGACAGCGGGCTTTGACTGTAATTACTCCTCTAGAACTGAAAGTATGCTGCTTGAATGCTTTTCATTTGTTTCAAATAATGCCGAGAGACATCATTGATATGATGGTATCAGCAGCAACTTGTACTGAATAACATTTATCTGGAATGTTGACATTTTGAAGATGTAAGTAGGCATATTATCAATCCGGGTTTGATATCAAAGGTATATTTTCCAAAAAATGCAAAACGCAGGAACATGCAATCTCGCAATCAACGTTAATCTTCAAAGAAAATATGAAACTGGTTCCCTAGTTGTGTTGCAGAACCTGTTGAGTACAAGCAAACAAGTATCAAGCTCCATTTTTGTTTTTTGTTTTTTTTTCCTTTGGATGGTTAACACTGTATCATTAACATAAGAACCCTTCATCGATTCAATCATCGCCAGGCATCATCTCTCAACTTTTGCCTTGTAGTTATCCGGTTCCTGGCTTCTTCCTGGTTTCTCAGTTCTCTAGACCCAAAGGTGGATGGCAATTTCGATCCTATTGCTTGAGCAATCAGCCTCTGGGCAGTTCTTACTGATGTCTGCGGTCTTTGACGAGGCGGCTCCAAATCTGGGAAATGAACAGAGCACATTTTCACCACTATCAAATTTTATCTTACATATTACTTTTAGATAAATCCTACAACTCTAAACTATGCAAACATAAAAGCCCAAAATGCAAGGACATCATTGTCTTCTCCTTTTCTTTTATGATGCTTGTTACTTGAGAAGCTAACTCAAAAACTTTGAACAGAAAAGTTGCAAATTTTATAAAATGAAGAATTTACTATCTACTAGGAGGCATGGAATGCAAATGAAATGCATAAAGAAAACAAAGCAAGCCCAACTGAAGAAAGAAAATGCACATGGAGCATTTAAAATTGGAATGCATCTGTTATCGTCCCACTAAAAGAAAGTAAGCCTATTTAAAATACCTCGCCGAAATTGAGCCAAAGAGTGCATCATCCTCATCAAGTATGCGTACATTAAATGGACAACGAACATGGTCGAGGGCTTCAAGGGCTGGCATCAAATTTTGAGATAGTTAGCCAAAGAAAAACTACTGTTGCAGAACTTTGCAAGCTGATTGTAGATAGGACAACACAGATCTTAAGATCAATGGTAAAAACAAAAACATGCCACTGAAGTTGATTATCATTCGAGGTTTGGCATTGTCTCTATAGTCCAGATATAGAAAACAACTATATGCAATTCAAGTTGATTTTCTTTACAAGTCCTATGGTTGTTTCTACTTGAACGACTCCCATGGACATATTTGGCACATAAAATGTTTGCATTATGGTCTCTTTTGGCTTTGAGATGGAAGCACATAAAACTTAGGCTGAAGAGTTCATGTTTAATCAACATAACATCCAGATCTTGAAAACTAATTTACACAACTACATTTGAAGGATAGATACTCGCTCAAGAAAGGTGAAACATACAAAATTCGTTCATAATTCCATATCATCTTCCATAATTGCATCATGTTCAAGGACAAGTATTTAATCAAGGGGAATAATGCTTGTATCCAGCCCCAAGTTTGAACGATGCGCGTTAAAGTTCTACAACCATGATGATACCGGTTCCAGTTTTCTAAACTAGTGGAAACATTTTTAAAAACATAGCCCTACCTCAAACTAACTTTAGAAATCCATTTCACAGAACATCAACAACGAATCTAGTAATTATTACCTACAGAAGGTGTTCGAAATACTGCAAGGGCAGTTGTATCATTGACCCAGCGAATGGCAACTCCTCGATCTCTGAAGTTCTCGAAAAGCATCTCTAGGTCTTGTGTCCTAGTACTTAGTGAAAAGCCGGCCAAAACAAGAACATGATGTGTGCCATATCTAGCTGCATTCAAAAGAATTTCCAACCCTAATGATCAGTATGATCTACAAAGACAATACAGAAAAGCTAACGTGAGAATTGACTGTCAAGCTAAAATAAGCTTTTCAATGTGATCTAATGGTTTTAGAGGTTTAACAGGAACAATTCAGATCCATGAAAATAACTTATTCCTTTCCCCTAGTTGTGACTTGAATTTATCTTACTGCAATGAAGTAAATAAGAACAAAAAAAGAAAAAGAAACACAGAGTTCCAAACCTTATACAGGAACTTTCTTTCAACATTGTTACATAGATACATTTGACCAGGGAAAAAAGAAGGAAAGACCATAAATAATTTGAAATCATTGAAAGATATATGACAAGATGGAATGCTATGTCTGACTAGATCAAGGCCGGGAAGCAAGCAAATAAACTTACTTTCAGGTTCATTAAGAAAAGATTTAGCTACCTGTCTTCTACATATATAGAGCATTTATGGAAACAAAACTTGGAATTTTGAGACATAAAGGCTTACGTTCAACCATTTTTGTTTCAGGTTGTTTGCCCACGTCCTCATTCTCGGTATCTTCAGGAGCAGACATGTCAGAGAGTTGATCATTGTAGAGTTCACTTTTATGAAAATGTCCCCCTTCCGCGTCTCTTAGGGGCTTCAGCTTTACTATCCCCAAAGAAAGTTTTGATACTCCAGGCAAGCATTCTGAAGAAAGTAACTCATCCGGTTCACGATCCGCAATGGCTTCCCAATCTGTACAAACCATTAGAAAGCAATTCCATAGCAGGTCATCCATTTCAGGGAATCAAAAAAAAAATCATTCAGATGGGCTAAACTACTAAAATAAACATACCATCATCTGAAGATGAGTTAGGTGGCAAACAATCATCGGCCAATGCCGGCAACTTTCCACGGTTCGCTTTAGCCAAACATTAAAGGGGGGGAAAAATAAGTTCCACATAATTCATAAGAGATAAAAGCAATAAATCCACCCAAACCCCAACATATTAGGTTTTCCCATCACACCATGCCACAAGAGAAGCAGAATCTTCATCTTACTAAAGCACCGAAATAATATACATTCAGAAACAAAAGCAAAAGGGAAATCAGGCGAACGTTTAGCTAAAGTAAGTGAATTGAGTTGCACCATGAGTCAAAGGATTGTCATTTGCAGCCAAGAAACATTAGGTGACGTTAAAGAATCCTCCTTCAAGTCCTTGTTTTTCAGTCCCGCACTGAAGTTCAAACGAAAGGTAGGAATTTAGCCTTGAAATCATTTCCATTTGCATTAACAGTAAAGAAAAAGAAAGAAAGAAAGAAAAAGAGTACCTTGAAGAGTGAGCACGAAGTTTGAGAACAGAAGCGCGTGAAAGAAGATCATCGGATTTAAGGGAGAAGCCGATGGAGGAATAGAGGGAAGCTAAGTCGGAAAGAGCAGAGGCTAATCGGAGGTCCTCGGAAGGCGTCGTTTCGATATCGGAAATGAGGTCTTCGAGGAAAGTGATGGCGGTCTGCGTGTCTCCGGCAGCCACCAAATCCTCCACTTTCTCACTCCAACTCGCTTCACCTGTTTTTTCCATTCGGTTGCTCTGTTTTCCTTCACGGCTCATAACAACAAATCTATTTTATAGATGACATTATCATAATTCCAAGACTTCGTTTCTTGAAGCCCAGCCCATTCAAGGCTCAATAGTTCATCTATAAAAGCCTAAAGCACAAAGTCTCAACTCTTCCTATTCTATTTTTGGGCCTAACAATAGGATTAAATGGGCCTCACTTCAGGCCGAAAGACAAGATCGATGAACAACGTAAAATATTCTTGTCGGTACCGAGGGACGAAGGAGGCTAGATTAGTCGAAAGATGGTTATCGGTTAAAATAAACGTAAAGTATTTAGATTTTCATGTGTGCATGACAACACGTGAAGTATTTCTTTTTTCTAACAAATAGAAAACATGAAGTAAACAGGTAAATGTTAGTTTTCTTTTATGAGCTAAATGCATCTATGGCTAAGATTTTAGAATGTTTTATAAATTTTTAAACAATCTATCTTAATGAGATCATTTGTTAGTCTAGTTGTCTACTTAGTTATTAATACTAACTTAGATTTAATTCAAAAGCAGTTTATCTAATTTTAAACACTTTATATTTACTAAATAAGTAATTTTGATCTTACATGTTAAAATAAAAATGACTAAAGTTTTGAAAAATAGTCTATTTTTACATATCAAATCAAAACTATCTATGTAACATGTTGATATATGTTTAAATTTTAATTCATTATTTTAAATATATTTCACATAATATCTACGCTGACACTGAATACCAAAAAAATTATGAGATTGATGGAGGAACTTAATTGGAACAAGTTTGAGGACTCAATTAGAATATTTTAAAATTTGGGACCAATTGTGAACCTAATCTTAGTTTGGGGGTGTCAAGTGTAATAAACTCTTTTCTAATACAAGCAAATTTACGAGGGAAAGAGGAATCAAAGCTAGGTTGAGATAAAATGAAAATACACGCAAAAGAGAAAATAAACAATTCATCATAAATATAGAGATCACAAATAGCGCAAATATATAAATTCTTTATCTTACAAATTTCATGTTGGGATTTTTCGATGAAGCTCAAATGAACAACCGAATAATTGCCAAGAGGGGGTGAATTGGCTTTTTGAATTTAGGGAGTATAAAGATGAAACAATTTACACAATGATTTATAGTGGTTCGACTTCTCAACCAAGTCTACATCCACTACCCAAGCTCCTCACTTAGGATTTTCTAACAAATTCACTAATTTGTTCTTTATATTTTTCCACGATAAGAGATAATATTTACAACTCCCTATCTTTTCAAAGGCTAATCTTGAACCACTCTCCAAGGAATAAAAGATGTAAACAAGAAACCTCACAAGGTAGGTGTTTACAAGATAAAGCTCACTAAAACACTAATACTTACAAGATAAAGGAAAATAAGAATGAAAAACTCTTCTCTTGTGTTTGGTTGTTTGGATAGGTGTTGGTAACATTCTTCAATTGTCCTCAACTTGTTTTATATGTTGGAATGAGTTTGTGACCGTTTCTATCCGTTGGGGATTAATTTTCTGCAAAATAAACTATTCAGGACATGGAGTATCGGTACTCCTTTAATGAGTATCGATACTACCTTTGTAATATTTAATTAAACTAGCTATTAAAGACCGCTGGGCTTGACCATTATCGATACTATGCTTCATGGTATCGATACTACTGTGTAAAGTAGTATCATTACTCCTTTGAGTATCGATACCTATTTTGCATTATTGAATTTGAGTAATTTGAAAACAACTGGTAGTATCGATATTACCTAGAGAGTATCTATACTTCTCTTACCTTTGGTATCGGTACCACATGAACAATATCGGTATTGTTCATGTAGTATCGATACTGTAGGAACAGTATTGGTACTACGTACCCAGAAAAACGTTTTGTGCTCAAATTCTAGTTTAATAAACTTTGAATTATTTTTTAAAACTTTGAACAAATTCTAACAAGTCCAAAAACATTTTTGCCTTAATTTATTATATCAAATATTATAAAACATAGTACAACATTTCAAAATTAAAAAAGAAAAGGCTCTCCCAATATTCTTACAAAAGTAATCTCTACAACATAAATTAAAGGTGAAAGCATATTCTAAATTTATAGAAAACAAACTTAGTCACCAGGAATTCTTACTCCATAAATTTTTTATCTAAATAAACTTAATCACAAATTAATCTTAAATCACTGAAATTGCAATAAAATTTAACTTAATTGTCAATTAAAATTTGAGTTAGCATGTAACAATCTTCACTAACACGAATTTCATCAAAAAAATTGGCATTCAAGTCTTCATCAACTTAAATTCTTACGTAAGTCAAGTATACATTGAAACACCACCGTTAAGTCTTTAACAACTTTAATTTTTATGTAATATTTATTGGATCATCGCTAAATCAATTGAGAATTAATCCCCAATTGAAAACTCGTTACAATAAAATTAGTCTTATATGTCTTCAATATAGCTAACAAAATCTGTGACAACAAATAACTCTGAAACTTCATAACTAAAATCATAGTTCATGATATCATTTATTAGAAATTTGTAAGGGAAGAAAAATCAAAATGAGATCAAGATAAAATTAAGACAAGTGTAGAAATGAGATTTGATGTAGTTCGATCTACCTACCTCCATGGATGATAAACAAAAATCCGCTATAACGTAGAGATCATAAGAGCACAATATTGAATTTCTTATATATGACAAATTCGATATATCTATCAAAAAATTTGATGTATCCAAAATCATCTCAATATCCTTACAAAATTCATTATACCATAATAGTTATAGAGTTCACGACAAAATTTGCATTTGTAGAGAGTAATTTTCTCTTATAAAAACTAAGAGCATAGGTAAGTTGAAATACGATGGTATACACCCCATAAACCATTTTAAAGATCTATATTATAAAATAAAATGTTTCAAATCTCTCCAATTGTATCAAATGATATATAATGCTCAACCTTAATAATTCAAGCCAGAACTGCGTAAGAATATATGCGAATTACCTATATATATATATATATATATATATATATATATATATATATATATATATATATATATAAACCATCGATCTTCCCTTACAGTGGAGCAAGCAGCATATTTACATATATAGAAACTGATCTTGGGCCTTCTTTTATGCATGCTCTTCGAAGTTTGGGAAATAGAACGAAATTGAATGCAATGGAAGGTTGGGTTTCGTATTTTCATGCCACGAAATCGGGTAACAATTGAGCGGCAAACCTCTTCCTGTTTTGCATCTCAAAGGTGTCGAATGAGAATCTTGTTGTGCGTCGTTGATCGAACAAAACTCAGATTCCGCTGGCTCTAACTCTATCCTTCTTCCTAGCTGAATGCTCTGGTGGTGGTTCCCCGAGAGTGAGAGGTTCTCACAGTGGGGGAGGCCAAGGGTGAGCGAAACACTGTTCCCATGAAACCTCGGTGTCAGCTGGTTCGGATCGAACCTCCCGATATCTCCCATCGCACCGCCGTACATCGCAAATCCACCTCCGGGAAACGAGTACCGTCTTTGGGCAGCCTTTCATCACCTTGCTTCATTTCCATGTCCATTGAAGGATACTACTAGTGGAATTCTGCAAGTCATTAACAGTAGTACCCCTTGGCTTCTTGGGGCTTCTTTGAGCCGCACCGACGAGGTCGGAGGAGCCGATGAGGTTGAAGGGTGTTTGTGGGAGAAAGGAGGATCCTCGTGGAAAATTGATGGGTAGGGGTATTATTGACGGAATTCTGGGTTTGACTTGTTCCGTCATGAATGAAACGTTCTCTTGCCCGCGGCCATCGGAGGTAGATCCCGACTCCTTTTGCCCAGTTTCGTTTGGGGTTTGTTCGCTGCCATTCTTGTCTTGTTCCTTGATTTCCTCCAAGTACATTTCTTCAACCATTGGCTTCCATAGCCGAACCCGAGCATTTATGAACCAGTTTGACACCTGCATTCCAAGTTTACACTTGCCTCTCAGTCCCCTAAAAGTTTAGCTAATGGTTTTCTCCTAAATATAATTCTATATAAAAGAAATCTCCCATATAAATCCTAAACTTTAAACTTTACGTTTTAAATATTAAATTTTAAACCCTAAAATATAATAATGCATACCACTTTGATCTTAAACTATATCATATATGGCAGAACTAGTTTATTTCAATTATTATTTAAAAATAAATATAACCATTTAATAAATATTAAATTTAATTAATAATTTTAACATTTATATTTATATAAATATAATTATGTATGTAATTTTAAATTTAATTAAGGTTTTATATTTATATAAAAATTATTAATTTAATTAATACATTACATAAGACATACCTGGCTTCTTGTAAGCCCTGTTTGTTTGGCAAGCATATGTTTGTCTGAATCTTTAGGATACCTGGGAACAAAATAAAATCGAAGTTAAGGGATTACGTATATGATGATCATCTAATTAGAGTAATTGTAATTTTCTAGTTCATACGGATGAAGAAAATGCTCGAAAAGCCAAGCACGAAGGACGGAAACTGATCGTTCGGGCAATCCTCTCTGGGGTCTCCAAGCATTGTGCTGGACCATTCCCAGCTGTTGCCGGAACTGATGATCCACGTTCGCAGCCTCGATCCCTCCACTTTTGCACCCAAGCAATCCTCTTCACCTAATATCGTGCTCGCCGCTTTGATTTGTCCGGATATCGCATCTTTCAGACACCGGAACTGCTTCGAGATCGTCTTCAAAGCAACGGCAGTGTACGCTTTCGCTGCACCGAATCCGGCCGCCTGCTCGAACGATGAAACCACTATTTGCATTTGATGATGGTACTGCCTGTATCTTTGCTCCACCTTCACAAACAAAGTGCAACTAACATTAGTGGAAGATAATAGATCTATACATAGACAGAGTAGTGATTCCTTCAATTAATTAGCGAACCTCATCCAGCATGCTGATTTGTTTTGCTTTCTTCATCTGAAGCTCCTGTCTTTGTGCTGTGGTGAGCTCAGCTCCACGTTTGGTTCCATTTTCAGCGGCACTTGAACCTTCAGCAGCCACTGGTTCTTGTTC